AAATAAAGGAGCGTAAAGTACAGCAGTTTGATTTTTTTGGTGGATAGATGAGATTTCTGGTGATTTTATAGTGGCGACTGAGAATAACTTTTAGGCGTGAAGCTCCGCTGGCTTACTTGTAGATGGTTAAGAAAACATTGAAGATGGCAGACTCTGAGTTATAGTTTTTATGTTCTGTACTAAGGCCTCTGGTATCTTTTTTCCTGCCTGCTCTTCCTCTTCAATTACTACTAATACTTTATCTTTTTGGGTACAACCTCTTGCTGGCTACAATAACTCACTGATCCATTGGTTGCATTGGGGAGGTGGTATTAGGGGGCAGAGACTTGGCCTTAATTTTACTATCACTGCTGCTTAATTTTATCAGTGTTTGGGTGAGCAGATGTATTATGAAACAGCAAAAGAGCTTTTATGTCCTCAAGATCAGGTTTGACTTTCGGCTGGTACGTGCATACTTTAGGAATGAAATGTGTAAAAAAATTGTCAGAAAATATATTCCTATCAAGTCAGCCTTCCTTACCCTTGTAATGAATTACTGGCATTGTCCATAGGTAATCCTTTAATGTAGGCATGCTGATTTGCCTGTAATCATCATTTTCAAATGGTTCATATTATCATCACAGCATGATGCTGAGAAGTGGTTATTACTAGTCTTATGGCCTGGTGTCTTTGTTAAATGCTGGAAGGCTAGTGTGTTGGGAACAAATGGTAAAGGAGACTGGTCTAGTCAGCATTATACATGTAAGATGAAGCAGCCCCTTATTTTTTATCAGATCATTTAACATTCATGTAATGGCTCAACTTTCCCTGTTGGTGCAATATCAGCCTTGTCATGAATCTTGGCATTACTCAAGCTGTGGTGATTATGGAAATGCTAAAGCCAGCTATTGCATGCTGGAAATGGTATGTTCATTTGCTCTCCTAGCACATTAGCAGCAAGAGCAAAAATTGGTAATGCCACATAAACACTCCTGAACATACCATTTATACAGTGCTCTTAAGATTTTTGTCTTTTGCCATTTTCGTATGCTTCCTAGAACCAACTGATGAGTCTTTTCTGGGGGCATTTACACTAAATTTTAGAACAGTTGATGTAAGCTTGTCCTCTGTCTTACAGATATTAGACACTTTTTTTTTTTTTTTTTTACACCATATTCCTCACACATGCAGGACAGTCGCACCAAACTCCAACTTCTGTATCAGTTTAAGTTTCTAACTAATGATTATATTCACATGTCTTCTCTTGGCATTACAACTTGCTTTAGAGGCCATTGTTAACCAAAACATACCTTTATATTATAATAAAGTAAAAACTGTAAATTCAGGGAAAAGAGAGCAAATGACAATACTACTGAATGTGCAGTGGCAATAAAACACCTGCGTTGCTGGCTACTGGCCTCTCCGAGAAGTAACTGTTCTTCAGTTACAGATTTTGCTCATTAAGTCTGGAATCCATTAAATTGAGCCCCCTTTAATTGAGACTTTATTTGTTGATAGAAGGCTTTGCAACTTTGCTACACAATTGTACCTAATTTTCTTTTATAAAATTCATTGATTATTATTGTAAGGTATATATTAGTACATTTTTATGCATGTGGAGGCAGGCTCGCATTTATTTGATAGAAATCTGTAAAAAAAAAAATTGAAAGTATCAATGTAACCTCCCCTTCCCTTTTTTCTTGATTTTTGAGTATTAAAAATAACTGCACTTACATATGTTGAGCATTTTTTTTTACACCACCCATTAGGTCAATTTCCTAAACTGGAAATTCTTTACATTGACTCTGTACCCCCATTTAGCTTGGATAAGAGGATTATCTTGGCACCATATCTTAAAGGTTGATGAAGACATTTTATTAATAAAAAAATAATGTCCCATCCAATGTCCCATTACTATTAGTTGAGAACAGTTTGTGTAGATCATTGTGTGGGTAGAAAATGAAGTAACAGCATTTTCTCATGCCTCAATGCCTAATATTGCTCTGCAATTTCCAGGCTGAATATAATGATGCCGAGGTGAAAGTTGAGCTAGTTTTGGTGCTTCTATGAAAGGACGCTTTGGTTTGGGATCGTTGAGGAATGTGCACCAGAGTGAGGACTATCTCAAGTTCATCCATCTGGAATGGCTGATGCAGACAGAGTTGTCGCAGGTGACCATACTCTTGGTGAAGTTTAGCTTTGGCTAATACAGGGGAAGATGACTCCCATGCACCTGGGAAAGGATGGAGCATTCCTCCAAACAGTTGCTATACAGTATATTAAGCTAACCCACGTTACAAAATAGAAACTATTACAGATTTTTTTGGTCTAGCTGGAAACCCCTCTTCAGGCCTACTGTTTGCAAAATCTCTCTTGTAAAGTGGATTAATTTAATAATAATTTAACCTGTATGGTTATATTTTGTTCACTTAGATACATAATTATGATAAGCACCATATGCCAGTCTAATTAAATTGGTTAAAAATCATTATTTACTTATTTTTTGTTGAGCATCATTATATGTCAGCATCAACTGAATACGAACGTTATTATCATAATACTTTTAATCTTTTATTAGCCTACATGTTACAGTATAAAGTAATATTACAAAACGAACCACAATAATACTACTAAGGTTATGAGCACTCAAAACAAAATGGTTTTAAGGTAAAATATTCAGTTTGTGAATTGCAGGTCCATATAAGACAGAGGCATAAAATTAAATACAGAAGTGGTTTTTTTTTCAGATCCATTTGTTAAATGATTGTTGATGCCCAAACAGTTCTCTGCTAGTAGAACAATGACGAGGCAGCATTTTAGTTCAGTGATTTTTTTTTTATATATATCAGAGATTAAATTGTGATCATTTGATATCTGTTGATGATTTGATAATTTTACCAACACTACCAAAAATTGTGCCCTCAAGGGAGTTCTTTGATGTTGGTTTTCATTAGAAAACCAAGGTGCCACTGTATATATGCCCTGGACAGGGTGAAGAAGATTAAGATTGATAAGACACTAAGTATTGGGGAGAGTTATAGTTGTACCAGAGTATAGTTGTACCAGAGTATAGTTGTACCAGAGTATAGTTGTACCAGAGTATAGTTGTACCAGAGTATAGTTGTACCAGAGTATAGTTGTACCAGAGTACAGTTGTACCAGAGTACAGTTGTACCAGAGTATAGTTGTACCAGAGTATAGTTGTACCAGAGTATAGTTGTACCAGAGTATAGTTGTACCAGAGTATAGTTGTACCAGAGTATAGTTTTACCAGAGTATAGTTGTAACAGAGTATAGTTGTACCAGAGTATAGTTGTACCAGAGTATAGTTGTACCAGAGTATAGTTGTACCAGAGTATAGTTGTACCAGAGTATAGTTGTACCAGAGTATAGTTGTACCAGAGTATAGTTGTACCAGAGTACAGTTGTACCAGAGTATAGTTGTACCAGAGTATAGTTGTACCAGAGTATAGTTGTACCAGAGTATAGTTGTACCAGAGTATAGTTGTACCAGAGTATAGTTTTACCAGAGTATAGTTTTACCAGAGTATAGTTGCACCAGAGTATAGTTGCACCAGAGTATAGTTGCACCAGAGTATAGTTGCACCAGAGTATAGTTGCACCAGAGTATAGTTGCACCAGAGTATAATTGCACCAGAGTATAATTGCACCAGAGTATAGTTGTAACAGAGTATAGTTGTAACAGAGTATAGTTGTACCAGAATATAGTTGTACCAGAGTATAGTTGTACCAGAGTATAGTTGTACCAGAGTATAGTTGTATCAGAGTTTAGTTGTGGTAAGGAGGCTGAAGGCAGTGGAGATGTCGTGTTTGAGGGCAGTGTGTGGTGTGAATATTGTACAGAAAATTTGGAGCATGGAGATTGTGTGGGGGTTATTAAAAGTATTATTGAAAGCCCTGAGGAGGGGTTGTTGAGGTAGTTTGGAGAGACTGGAACAAATAGGATGACTAGGAGGGTGTTTAAATCTGAGGTGGAGGGGAGGTGTGGTATAGAACCTAGGAAACGTGGGAGAGAAGACAGAAGGGAAGGCAGAAAGGAAGTTCGGAGTGCCAGAGGCTTCAACATCTAATAGGCTTGTGTGAGCTTGTTAGGAGTGCATGGAGGCAAGTGATTTTTTTATGATTTGATGTGCTGTTGGAGTGTGAGACAGCTAACATTTATGAAGTGATTCAGGGAAACTGGTTAGCCAGTCCTGGAGGTAGAAAGTACAGTACCTGCAATCTGAAGGAGGGATGGAGATGATGCTGTCCAGAGGACCATCTGAACTGCTATGTCAGCATGTTTCTGGCAAGACTGATTGAACAAGTGACCGTGTTAATGTTCCCTCTTTTTCGGGTCACCCTACCCATGTGAGAGATGGCTGGTGTGTTAAAAAAAAAAAAAAAATCACTGGCTAGAGTGATAGTCATAAGTCTTCTGCCAGAATTCTCTGGCAGAAGATGCCTTGCCTTCTGTCATCACCTTTATACAGCATCTTATTCTGGCCACCTTCACACTGCTAATACACTACATAATTCAGGTTGCACAGGAACATATTTCTAGCCAGTGATAACTTCCACCTCCATTCCAAATGGAAGAATCTAGCTGGACTAACATGGTTGGTGCCAGCCACCTTCTTATGACTATGGTGATAGATCTTCTGTTGCACAGTGTTCTAAAGGCCCATCTTGTTTATTACTCTCCCTCAGCTAATTATGTCTATGCAGTCATCATTCCCAATCCTCTGGGCTGTTATTTCACCCATATTTTTCTCTATTTCCTTTTAAGTAACACTTGTCATTCAGGCCAAAATTTACACAGGCATCTTTTTATTTGTCATGTCATGTTTACATAAAAGAGCTCCCATTAGTCACAAAGATCTATAATAAATACTCTCGCTAGAGTAATACAGCATCTATCACTAAAATACAAATACTGTATTACAAATTGCAGATACACAAGGTAAAAATGGAACAAAGAATCTTGTAACTTATTGCTAAGCATTTGTTCTGTTAAACAGGTCAGTTTGGACAATTAACTCCTAAGGAAAAAGGCAGTGAAGAAAGCAAAACTATCCAGAAATTTAGGGACCTTCTGGAAACACTTCCTATTCCTGCTCTAACTTTTGGAACAGCCATTCATCCAGAATTGGTGGATAATCCCAAACCACCCTTCACTCCATCTGTCCTAAAACAAATGAAAGGTATGTACTAATAGTAAATTATTAATATGTCATTGTGTTCGTGTACTACGTATAGACATTATGTAAAAATGCATCATTGCCTTTTGGTCAGAATTTAGAATATTATACATCCCTCCAGAGAGCTAACCTTCCTTCGGGTTGATGTGGAATAATAATTCTAAGACAACAGAGGGTGATAGACCAGCAATACCAAAGACTTTATTATGACATTTTTTTCCAAGGGAAGCTTTATAAATTACTGTACAAGTATAAAACACACACACACACACACACACACACACCCACACAACCCACACACACACAAAACAACACACACACCCACACACACCCACACACACACACCCACACACACAACACCACACACACACCACAACACCACACAAAATAAAACACACACACTCACCCACACACCACACTCCCACACACCCCACCACTACACAACCACACACACCACACACCCTACACACACACACACACCTCAACACCCCACACCACACACACACACACAACAAAACAAAACCCCCCCCCAAACAAACACACCAAAACCCCCAAACACCCTCCACCCCCCCCACACCAAACCCCCCCCCCCCCTCACCCCCACAACACACAACACACACCCACCACCCACACCCACCACACCCCACACAAACACCACACACACAACACACACACACACAAAACACACAACCCACACCCACCCCACACCCCAACCACACCACTACCCCCACACACCCCCCAAAACAACCACACACACCACACAAAAACACACCTACACAACACACTACACAACAACCCCCCAAATACACACACACATAACACAAACACTACCAACACACACTACACACACACACACTAACACACACACACTACACACACACACACTACAACACACACACCATTTAAAAAAAAACACAACACAATAACACAACAACTACACACACACACACTACACCACACATCACACACAACACTACACACACACCCACTTAACACACACACACAAAACCCACCATACAAAACCACCACATAACACACACACTACACACCCCACAACAACAAACTACACACAACAACACCACACACACAAATAAACACACACAACACACACTACACACACACACACACACACACACCACACACACACACACAACACCACACACACACACACACACAACACAAAATAACACACCCCAACCACACACACACACACAAAACAACACACACACAAAACACATACACACACACACACAACTACACACACACCAAAACCATAAAAAACACACAACACACACACCACACAACACAAACTAAACACACACAAAAACCCACACACACACAACACACACACACACTACACACACTAAAACACACACACAACACACAACCACACACAACACAAACACACAACTACACACACACACACACACACAAAAACCACAACACATACACACACCTACACACACACAAACACACACTACAACACACAAACAACACACTACAACACACACTACAACAAACTACACACAAAACACAACAACTAAAACACACACACAACACACACAAAAACCCACACACACACACAAAAACCACAAAACACAACACACACACAACACACACTACAACCCCCCACCACAACTACAACAACCTACACCACAACACACACTACACACACAACCAACCCCACACTCACACACACACACACACTACACACACACAACACACACAAACACACAAACACACCACACCACAACACACACCACCCCACCTCACACACACACACTACACACAAACACACTACACCCACACACCACAACAAACACACCACAAACACCAACTAACACACTCACACAAAAACCCACACACAACCAACACACACAACTAACACACACACTACCACACACACCACACACACAACACAACACACACACACACACAACCACACACAAGTAGTCCAATAAGTGGAATGTTTGGAACGATTTTAGGAGCAGGATCCATACATAGTTTTAAAGCAAGGTATGAAAAGCTCATGGCTCAGGAGAGTGACCTAAAAGTCATCAGTGAAGAGGCAGGGCCAGAGCTCGGACTCGACCCCCGAAACCCTCAACTGGTGAGTACAACTAGGTAGTACACACCACAACACACACCACACACAAAACCCACCACCACACACACACTCCCACCTCACCCTCAAACACCACACCACAAACACTACACACCTCCCCACTACCCTCCACACACATACACACAACACTACACAACACTACAACACCACTACCCCAAAACCAACCACACACACTACACACCACAACACAACACAATAACACACTACACACACACATAAAACCCAAAAAACTAACAACCACACACTACAAAACACACACACAAACACCACACACTAACACCACCCCACACTAACACACTACGTACAAATAGGTGAGTACACACACACCACACACAACACACACACATACACACACACACACACACCTACACACCTACACACCTACACACCTACAACAGGCCTAGTGTCTAATCGACATGTGCCTAGGACAAAATGGTAACTAGCTAACACGTGCTCATATACAACAGGCCTAGTGTCTAATCGACATGTGCCTAGGACAAAATGGTAACTAACACAGACACAAACACACACACACACACACACACACACACACACACACACACGTGCTCATACACAACAGGCCTAGTGTCTAATCGACATGTGCCTTGGACAAAATGGTAACTAACTCACACACCACACACACCCACACACACACACACACACACACACACACACACGCACACACACACGCACACACACACACACACACACACACACACACACACACAACCCGCACTTGATAAAGCACGTCAAGAAACTAGAGAAAGTACAAAGGTTTGCCACAAGGTTAGTTCCAGAGCTAAGGGGAATGTTCTATGAAGAAAGATTAAGGGAAATCGGCCTGACGGACACTGGAGGACAGGAGGGTCAGGGGAGACATGATAACGACATAAAATACTGCGTGGAATAGACAAGGTGGACAAAGACAGGATGTTCCAGGGAGGGACACAGAAACAAGAGGCCACAATTGGAAGTTGAAGACACAAATGAGTCAGAGAGATATTAGGAAGTATTTCTTCAGTCATAGAGTTGTATGGCAGTGGAATAGCCTAGAAAATGACGTAGTGGAGGCAGGAACCATACACAGTTTTAAGACGAGGTTTGATAAAGCTCATGGAGCGGGGAGAGAGAGGGCCCAGTAGCAACCGGTGAAGAGGCGGGGCCAGGAGCTAAGACTCGACCCCTGCAACCACAAATAGGTGAGTACAAATAGGTGAGTACACACACACACACACACACACACACACACACACACACACACACACACACACACACACACACACACACACACACACACACACACACACACACACACACACACACCTACAACAGGCCTAGTGTCTAATCGACATGTGCCTAGGACAAAATGGTAACACACACACACACACAACACACACACACACACACACCTACACACCTACAACAGGCCTAGTGTCTAATTGACATGTGCCTAGGACAAAATGGTAACTAACACACACACACACACACATCTTCTATTCTCTATTCCCCAGTTACTGTGACCCTCACTCCCCCATAAATAATATAACTCATTATATGTGAAGCAGAGTTGCCAAATACCCTGTCTGAATGGCAATTTGGTTAGTGACATGGTTAGACGATTTGCCAAGTAGTGGAATGAGCTTCGGTTACTGAGTAGAGGGGCACTGCTTCATAAATGTCACTTTAAAAAGTAGTTAAACCGTGTACAGGCATAACTGGAAATCCATTTTTAACAACGACTTGCAACCGTATCATTGTGCAGTAACACTTCAGCTGGAATGCCACTCAAAGGAGGTGCCTTGATTCAAAGAACTGGATTTATACTTTACTCCCCTTCCTTGGATCAAACTTGATTGCTTCACATTACCTAGGTAATATATAATCTTATATGGGGTTAATACTTTCCACTGATAAAATTCACTTGGAATGAAACAAGAATGAGTCGTATTGAAATAAAATTTGGCCTTCAGACAAATTAATCAAACCTTTGTTTTTGTATCATTTCCAAACTTTAATTTGTCTGAAGGTCAATTTAATTTCAGCACAATAACTTGTGCCAGATTTAGTGTGAATGTAGACAGCCTGTACTGTCTGCATAGACAGCCTATGCTGTCTGCCAGCTGAGTTCATATTTTGTGCCATGCTGGTACTGCCACCTATAGGCCTATGCCACTTCTGTATGCCCAGACCTGCCTCTCCCTCACTCTGGCAGCTTACTTCACTCAGTCAACAAGGTTTACTCCTCTCTCCCTTGCGGGCATGACCCTCCAGGGCCACGGGCACTTGAACACACTGCCTGTGTACCCCACGACATTGCAAATAAAGTAAGAAGCCTCCGAAGCCTTATCATTACTCCCCGCTACCAAGAAGGACACAATAAACTGGTAAACATTAATACCTGGTGGCAGTTGATTTATCCTTTGCTTATTCCAGCTGAAGATATGATGATGTTATGATGTAGTGTTATGATATACTGGTTTCAAGTCTGCTAATTGTGTTTTTGCTTCACAGGTAATGTATTTTTAATGTTTTTGTGAAATGATCAAGATATATATAGGTATGTTTTTCATGTATATTTACCAAGGATTTTGAAAGGATTGAGTTTGAGTGGCTGTGCTCAGTTTCCAAATGACTTTTATAGTATATTCCTGTTATAATACTTTTATATTTTAATACATTGTCAATCTACCATATTCTTTATGTACCCTGTTTATGCTCTTTCATTACTTGGCACTTGTCCACATTAAATTTCAGCATCCATTTATCAATCCATTTGCTTATATTAACCAGGTTTTCTTAGAGGGATTTATAGTAAGTTTTATTGCTTATTTTAGATAGGATATTTACATCATCCACCAATGTGTTGTTATAGATTTTT